TAAAAGCACATTTCAGGTTGAAGTAAGAAATTAAAACAGATATATTTAAATTTTTTAACATTAATTTATTAGCTGAGTAATAATTATACAAAAAAGTTTTCAAACCGAATACAAATTTTGTTAAATTTTGTCAACAAAGTTCAGTCTTAAATTTCCAGTACCTTGTTTCCATGAGTTTGGCCGCTTAATCATTCGTATTTACTAAATTATTTTTGTTGGGCTGTGACATTAGAAAAGTTCACCTGTGAGATATTAGCTAATGGGAAGATTAGTTTTGGTTCTACCTGTGATATATGATCTGCAGTGACCAGTAGGAGGTTAGTTACGGTGCCAGTTACCGGAGATTATTTATGGTACCAGCTGCGAGAGATTACTTAAGGCGCCGTCTTCCTAACGTTCTAGTACCACTTATGAAAATATATTCCAATATATATGAGGCCACTTAGTGAAAATCACACATATAGTGACACAGAAAGGAGATTACACTGTAGCTGTAGCAGTCAGATCACTGGTCTGATCACTGACTAGGCAGGATGAGACATGCTAGGGAGGAGGGAAGGGAGTCGATTAGTAGACCCACGTTCGAGTCAGCAGGTTAACGGTTTTGGTGAGAAGCCGGTTGCTGAACTCAGTTGAGGGTGTGGACCATACCCTCAAGGGTGTGGACGTCTGGCTCTGCGGGGGCTGGGCAAGGAGAGTCCATCTGGTCTGCTTGGGATTTCCTAGTTTCTGTGTTTATTTACAAAAGGTCTCCTGTTCCCTTTATGGTTATCATTTAGGTTTGGGCAATTATCTCCGTACATCGGTACGATGGATCGATACGGCGATAACTAACAGTGGCCTCTACAAACCCAAAAAGGAGAAGAAAGCAGGTGCGACCCGGGGGGCAGTAGGGCAAATTTCCGCGCACGCTCACCGAAAAATCGAAAAAATATGGAAATTGAGTTATATATATACTGAAAAATAGCTCAACTCTTTGGCAACACAATGGTACCAGAATGAATGTTCTACGACGTTTCTACAAGAAATTATAGCCATTTATATCAGGTATGGTGACGGCGATGTTGGTAGCGAGTCTGCTCACGGCCCATATATATTTTGGAAATTTTTCCTTGTTTTTTATCGCTTTTTCTCGGTGGCCCGGTGGTCTGGTGGCTAAAGCTCCCGCTTCACACACGGAGGGCCCGGGTTCGATTCCCGGCGGGTGGAAATTCTGACACGTTTCCTTACACCTGTTGTCCTGTTCACCTAGCAGCAAATAGGTACCTGGGTGTTAGTCGACTGTAAGTAAGTTTATTCAGTTATACACAAATACAGTTACATAGAATTATCATACATAGCAGCATATGTGTAGAGGATCTAGGATAACCCAAAAAAGTCAGACAGAGTGACTTATTTCCATTGGGGTCCATTGGTGTGGGTCGCATCCTGGGGGACAAGATTAAGGACCCCAATGGAAATAAGTTAGACAGTCCTCGATGACGCACTGACTTTCTTGGGTTATCCTGGGTGGCTAACCCTCCGGGGTTAAAAATCCGAACAAAATCCTATCTTATCTTATCTTAATATAATAACTGACAACTTGGCATCATAAAACTGAAGGCGGAGCTTATCTCTAGATTTAGCAACAGTCATTAATCATATCATGACGCGCGGAAGGGTTGCCGCGCCAGGAGAAATCACTCATTATTACGCTTATATCAGCTTATATATCAACTCTACAGCTTATTTTTCTATCAGAATTGATCTAATATGATATAATAAACACTATAAATAACATACAAACATGTTATATACTGTAGACTGAATAAAATAGGCCATAATATGACGGAAGATTATCGGGAATATTTCGATAAATATTGAGCTACTCCTCTCCAGGTCGTATTCTTTAGTCTCCGAGTAAGAGAAAACGGTGTTTTGAAGAGGCTAACTGCACTAGAACATCAGTTTACTAAGAAATACACCCAAACAAACGCGATTTTCGCGATTTTTTTTTTTTTTTTTTTTTTTGAGACAGGGGCCGGCCGGCGCTCCCGGCCGATATCTCGGAAGTAACTTATTCACCTAATGGCCAAGCTTCTCGCTTTATTACTGAATTAAATGGAATATAATACTCACAAAAGTTGTAGAATAATGATTTCTCCATTTTTCGGTGACCAAATTTTGGAAATATTCCAAATACTTTGGGAGTTATGTGGGAGTAAAGGGCAGATTTTTTTTTGCAATATTCCAGGAACTAACAAACTTTATTTTTTGTGAAATAAAGATAAGTTTATTTAGAGAAAAGGACTCAACGATAATTAGTATAAGCATTGTTCTCTCGGCACCAAGTGTCCAAACAACCTTATGTAGTCCCATATAAGAGAAAGTTTGGCCACAAGGGCATTTTCAATAAATCAGTCATTTCTCAGTTGTTGTTTGAGGTATATTTTTGATAAATATTTTCAAGAATGAGTGAAACTACTTTGTCTTGTGTACCAAAACTGGAGAAAATCGGACGGTAAACAACAGAGTTACAGATTTTGCCCTACTGCCCCCTTCATTGGGTCAGCTAGTGATCAAAAACTTTCATGTGGAAGGTAGCAGTGGTGGTCAAGGACTGGAGAACCCCTCAGGTCGTGTGTGTTTTGATCAGGGGTTCAGGGTTGGTTCACGCTCGGGCTGGTTATCCTCCACTTCGACCTCCAACAGACACAGAGGACTCTTTGTCTCCTGACAGTTCTCGTCACTGATATAGTAGAAATGTTCATAAGTCAGGGCGGAGCACCTGTTGACAAGGTTACATAAGGTCACTGAAACTGTGAAGGCAAGATTATGTTGATGCAAACTAAATTATATTAATTAGACTGTGCATAAATTTAAACCACAAAACAGTTTGTCTGTAAATTCAAAATGAATAAACAGTCAGTGTATCAGGCTAAACCCAGTTAGTGCATCAGGCTAAACCCAGTTAGTGCATCAGGCTAAACCCAGTTAGTGCATCAGGCTAAACCCAGTTAGTGCATCAGGCTAAACCCAGTTAGTGCATCAGGCTAAACCCAGTTAGTGCATCAGGCTAAAACGTAAAACTGTACAATTATATCACATATAAGAGTCACGTGAAGCTGGAATAATGCCCTAGAAAAAGATGTCAGAGTTGATGTCAAAACAGAAAAGGACACTAGTAAAGATAAACATGCTTTACTATATTGGCGAACTGAAAAAAAAAAGAAATAGAGAAGGCGCAGCTCAAGAACTGCTAAAATACAAGTAACATACACCACTGAAGATTATAGTAATATATATACAGGATTTTATGAAAGAATAACACTGTTAAGAGGGTAAATATTACATAAAGACAAACAAAAATATACAAGTAAGAGAGCGGCTCCATCCTGTCACAGCGGTGATGTAAAACTGCTAAAAATTTTGTTTTTAATTTACAAATATCATGAAAAATTTTAAATAAAGAAATTAAATCAATATTTTAAACTAGAAAACAGACATAGTTTGCCTGACAAACTAAACTGAGAAAGTATATTTTTATTTATTAATTTTTCAATACTATTTATCCAGGTTAAAGAAAAGAGAGTGAGGGAGAAAACGTTTAGTAATAAGTTTTAAACTATTGTTACTATTGTACAACTTAAAGAAATTAAATACTTTTTTTTTTAAATCTTAGTTCAGAGGGAAAACTTAGAATCATATATGCATACAATCCTCAACTTAAACACATCAAAGAAAGAATAATTCGATAATATAAATGAGTGACCAACTGAGTACATAATTCACTGACAAACTGTGCCAATCTACTGGTATCAGAGAATATCGGCTAATTTTAATGGTATCGGTTACGGTAAGTTGAATGTTGTGTTGGTAAAAATTTTGGTATCTTCCCATCACTAAGTGAGATTCATGGCCCCGAGGCAACATCTTCCACCTCGGTGCAAGTGCAAACACTGAACCTTAGTCCATGTTGTTGTGTTCAACTAGTGGAAAATGTGTACTTATGTGGTAGCCCACTGTTGTGGGTTCCATGCTGGAGAAAACCAACAAAACATAACACTTAAATAAGACACACTGATGATTTTCTTGGAATATATTTCTTAAACTGTCATCCATCATCTTCCCAGATTCTAGAACTCACATTCACCATCTACAACTCACTCTCACCATCTACAACTCACTCTCACCCTCTACAACTCACTCTCACCATCTACAACTCACTCTCACTCTCTACAACTCACTCTCACACTCTACAACTCACTCTCACACTCTACAGCTCGCTCACCCTCTGTACAACTCACTCTCACTCTCTACCACTCACTCTCCTCACCACTCTACAACTCACTCTCGCTCTCTACAACTCATTCTTACACTCTACAAACTCACTCTCAGTCTCTGCAACTGACTTTCCTCACCCCCTACAACTCTCACTCTCTACAACTTCACTCTCACGCTCTACAACTCACTCTCACTCTCACTCTCTACAACTCACTCTCTCTCTACAAACTCTCACTCTCACACTCTACAATTCACTCTCACTCTCTACAACCCACTCTCACTCTCTACAACCCACTCTCACTCTCTACAATAACTCACTCTCACTCTATACAACTCACTTTCGCTCTTTACAAATAACTCTCACACCCCTACAACTCATTCTCATCTCTATAACCCACTCTCACTCTCTACAACTCACTCTCGCACTCTTCAACTCAATCTCACTCTCTACAACTCATTCTCACACTCTACAACTCACTCTCGTAATCTTCAACTCACTCTCACTCTCTACAACTCACTCTCGCACTCTTCAACTCACTCTCACTCTCTACAACTCACTCTCCCTCTCTACAACCCACTCTGACTCTACAACTCACTCTCAATCTCTACAACCCACTCTCACTCTCTACAACCCACTCTCACTCTCTACAACTCACTCTCAATCTCTACAACCCACTCTCACTCTCTACAACCCACTCTCAGTCTCTACAAAGCACTCTCAGTATCTATAACTCACTCTCACTCTCTACAACTCACTCTCCCCTCTACAACCCACTCTCACTCTCTACAACTCACTCTCAATCTCTACAACCCACTCTCACTCTCTACAACTCATTCTCACCCCTCTACAACCCACTCTTGCTCTTACAACTCACTCTCTACAACTCGCTCTCACTCTCTACAACCCACTCTCACTCTCTACAACTCACTCTCAATCTTTACAACCCACTCTCACTCTCTACAACTCACTCTCACTCTCTAAAATTCTCACTCTCTACAACTCACTCTCACTCTCTACAACCCACTCTCACTCTCGACAACCCACTTCTCACTCTCTACAACTCACTCTCAATCTCTACAACCCACTCTCACTCTCTACAACTCACTCTCAATCTCCACAACCCACTCTCACTCTCTAAAACTCATTTTCACTCTCTACAACCCATTCTCACTCTCTTCAACCCACTCTCACTCTCTGCAACTCACTCTCACTCTCTACAACCCACTCTCACTCTCTACAATTCACTCTCACTCTCTACAAACCATTCTCAATCTCTACAACTCACTCTCACTCTCTTCAGCCCACTCTCACTCTCTACAACTCACTCTCGCTCTCTACAACTCTCACTATCTACAACTCACTCTCTACAACTCACTCTCACGCTCTACAACTCACTTTCCCCCTCTACAACTCTCACTATCTACAACTCACTCTCTACAACTCACTCTCACGCTCTACAACTCACTTTCCCTCTCTACAACTCACTCTCACTCTCTACAACTCTCACTATCTACAACTCACTCTCTACAACTCACTCTCACGCTCTACAACTCACTTTCCCTCTCTACAACTCACTCTCACTCTCACTCTTTACAACTCACTCTCCCTCCTACAACCCACTCTGACTCTACAAACTCACTCTCAATCTCTACAACCCACTCTCACTCTCTACAACCCACTCTCAGTCTCTACAAAGCACTCTCAGTATCTATAACTCACTCTCACTCTCTACAACCCACTCTCACTCTCTACAACTCACTCTCAATCTCTACAACCCACTCTCACTCTCTACAACCCACTCTCAGTCTCTACAAAGCACTCTCAGTATTCCCATAAATCACTCTCACTCTCTACAACCCACTCTCACTCTCTACAACTCACTCTCAATCTCTACAAACCCACTCTCACTCTCTACAACTCACTCTCGCACTCTTCAACTCAATCTCACTCTCTACAACTCAGTCTCAACTCTACAACTCACTATCGCAATCTTCAACTCACTCTCACTCTCTACAACTCACTCTAGCACTCTTCAACTCACTCTTACTCTCTACAACTCACTCTCCCTCTCTACAACCCACTCTCACTCTCTACAAAATCACTCTCAATCTCTACAACCCACTCTCACTCTCTACAACTCATTCTCACTCTCTACAACCCACTCTTGCTCTTACAACTCACTCTCTACAACTCGCTCTCACTCTCTACAACCAACTCTCACTCTCTACAACTCACTCTCAATCTTTACAACCCACTCTCACTCTCTACAACTCACTCTCACTCTCTAAAATTCTCACTCTCTACAACTCACTCTCACTCTCTACAACCCACTCTCACTCTCGACAACCACTCTCACTCTCTACAACTCACTCTCAATCTCTAACAACCCACTCTCACTCTCTACAACTCACTCTCAATCTCCACAACCCACTCTCACTCTCTAAAAACTCATTCTCACTCTCTACAACCCATTCTCACTCTCTGCAACCACTCTCACTCACTGCAACTCACTCTCACTCTCTACAACCCACTCTCACTCTCTACAATTCACTCTCACTCTCTACAAACCATTCTCAATCTCTACAACTCACTCTCACTCTCTTCAGCCCACTTCCACTCTCTACAACTCACTCTCACTCTCTACAACTCTCACTCTCTACAACTCTCACTCTCTACAACTCTCACTCTCTACAACTCACTCTCTACAACTCACTCTCACGCTCTACAACTCACTTTCACTCTCTACAACTCACTTTCCCTCTCTAAAAAACTCACTCTCACTCTCACTCTTTACAAACTCACTCTCTACAACTCACTCTCACTCTCTACAACTCACTCTCCCTCTAGAACTCTCACTCTCACCCTCTACAACTCACTCTCACTCTCTACAACCCACTCTCACTCTCTACAACTCACTCTCACTCTCTACAACTCACTCTCCCTCTAGAACTCTCACTCTTCACCCTCTACAACTCACTCTCACTCTCTACAACCCACTCTCACTCTCTACAACCCACTCTCACTCTCTACAAAATCACTCTCACTCTCTACAACTCACTCTCACCTATACAACTCACTCGCACTCTCACTCTCTACAACCCACTCTCACTCTCTACAACCCACTCTCACTCTCTAAAACTCACTCTCACTCTCTACAAGTCACTCTCACGCTCTATAACTCACTCTCACTCTCTACAGCTCACTCTCTGCAACTCACTCTCACGCTCTACAACTCACTCTCGCGCTCTACAACTCACTCTCACTCTCTACAGCTCACTCTCTCTCTAAAAACTTTCACTGTCACTCTCTACAACCCACTATCACTCTCTAGAACTTACTCTCACTCTCTAACAACTCACTCCTATTTTCTACAACTCACTCTCACTCTTTACAACTCACCTCTCACTCTCTACAACTCACTTTCACTTTCTACAACTCTTACTCTCTATAAATCACTCTCACTGTCTACAACTCACTTTCGCTCTTTACAACTAACTCTCACACTCTACAACTCACTCTCACTCTCTACGACTCACTCTCTCTACAACTCATTCTCACTCTCTAAAGGCTCGCTCTCACTTTCTACAATTCACTCTCTACAACTCACTCTCACTCTCTACGACTCACTCTCCACTCCCTACAACTCTCACTTTCTGCAACTCACTCTTAATCTCTACAACTCACTTTCACTCTCTACAACTCACTCTCTCTACAACTCATTCTCACTCTCTACGGCTCGCTCTCACTTTCTACAATTCACTCTCTACAACTCACCTCTCCCTCTCTAAAAGCTCACTTTCACTCTCTACAACTCACTCTCACATCTACAACTCACTACCACTCTCTACGACTCACTCTCTCTTTCTACAACTCACTCTCACTATCACTCTCTGCAACTCGCTCTCACTCTCTGCAACACACTTTCACAGCTATCTCTTCCACTCTGCTACAATACGTTTCATAGCTCTTTCGGCTCACTGCAACACTTTACCAGACCACTGAAACATGATCCTGTATTACATTACCACCGTCCTGCAACACTTTTCCACCTCCTGAAATACTTTCACACCCTCCTGGAACACTTTCCCACCCTCCTGCAACACTTTCCCACCGCCTTGCAACACCTTCCCACCTGCAATGCTTTCCCACCTCCTGCTGCACTTTTGTATTTCCTGGAGTACTTTCCCACTTCATGCAACACTTTCCAAATTCCTGCAACAATTTCCGACATCTTGCGAGACTTTCCCACCTCCTGCACGACTTTCCCACCGTCTTGAAACACTTTCCCACCATCCAGCAACACTTTCCCACCATCCAGCAACACTTTCCCACCCTCCTGCAACACTTTCCCACCCTCCTGCGACAATTATCCAGTCTCCTGCACACATTCCCACCCTCCTGCTGCAACACAGTCCTACCTTCCTGCTGCAACACAGTCCCACCCTCCTGCTGCAACACAGTCCCACCCTCCTGCTGCAACACAGTCTCACCCTCCTGCTGCAACACAGTCCTATCCTCCTGCTGCAACATAGTCCTACCCTCCTGCTGCAACACAGTCCCACCCTCCTGCTGCAACACATTCCCACCCTCCTGCTGCAACACAGTCCCACCCTCCTGCTGCAACACAGTCCTACCCTCCTGCTGCAACACAGTCCCACCCTCCTGCTGCAACACAGTCCCACCCTCCTGCTGCAACACAGTCCCACCCTCCTGATGCAACACAGTCTCACCCTCTTGATGCAACACAGTCTCACCCTCCTGATGCAACACAGTCCCACCCTCCTTGTGCAACACAGTCCCACCCTCCTGATGCAACACAGTCCCACCCTCCTGCTGCAAACGCAGTCCCACCCTCCTGCTGCAACACAGTCCCACCCTCCTGCTGCAACACAGTCTCACCCTCCTGCTGCAACACAGTCCCACCCTCCTGCTGCAACACAGTCCCACCCTCCTGCTGCAACACAGTCTCACCCTCCTGCGATTTATTAGGTTTCAAAGCCCATTCAGGGAACTCTAAATTTTTGACATTGCTTTTGTCACTAGAAAACTCTTCGTGATCCTTACATATAAAGAGAGCCTTAAGTCCTTGCCAAGGGGCGAGGAGTGAGCCTTAATACCTTACTAAGGGGCGATGAGTGAGCCTTAAGTCCTTGCCAAGGGACGAGGAGTGAGCCTTAATACCTTACTAAGGGGCGATGAGTGAGCCTTAAGTCCTTGCCAAGGGGCGAGGAGTGAGCCTTAATACCTTGCTAAGGGGCGAGGAGTGAGCCTTAAGTCCTTGCCAAGGGGCGAGGAGTGAGCCTTAATACCTTACTAAGGGGCGATGAGTGAGCCTTAAGTCCTTGCCAAGGGGCGAGGAGTGAGCCTTAATACCTTGCTAAGGGGCGAGGAGTGAGCCTTAAGTCCTTGCCAAGGGGCGAGGAGTGAGCCTTAATACCTTGCTAAGGGGCGAGGAGTGAGCCTTAAGTCCTTGCCAAGGGGCGAGGAGTGAGCCTTAATACCTTGCTAAGGGGCGAGGAGTGAGCCTTAAGTCCTTGCCAAGGGGCGAGAAGTGAGCCTTAATACCTTGCTAAGAGGCGAGGAGTGAGCCTTAAGTCCTTGCCAAGGGGCGAGGAGTGAGCCTTAATACCTTGCTAAGGGGCGAGGAGTGAGCCTTAAGTCCTTGCCAAGGGGCGAGGAGTGAGCCTTAATACCTTACTAAGGGGCAATGAGTGAGCCTTAAGTCCTTGCCAAGGGGCGAGGAGTGAGCCTTAATACCTTGCTAAGGGGCGAGGAGTGAGCCTTAAGTCCTTGCCAAGGGGCGAGGAGTGAGCCTTAATACCTTGCTAAGGGGCGTGGAGTGAGCGTTAAGTCCTTGCCAAGGGGCGAGGAGTGAGCCTTAAGTCCTTGCCAAGGGGCGAGGAGTGAGCCTTAATACCTTGCTAAGGGGCGTGGAGTGAGCGTTAAGTCCTTGCCAAGGGGCAAGGAGTGGATCATAACTCCTTGCCAAGGGGCGAGGACTGAGGAGCTGAGCTGTGAAGCAATATACTTCTTGAAATAGTAATGAATGAACTCACTTTCATCCTATGAGTAAAAGTGTCTTAGAGAGGGTCAATACATAATATACTAGAAACATATCTAAATTGTTTCATTATTTCGATGATCGAATGCTAAATTAGGTCTTCATGAGGTCAGGACCTTTAACACTTGAAAGAAAAATCTCCTTTATATGATATTTAATGTTCTATGTAGGTATTATGTATGTATTAAGACAACACGAACTCTACACATTATTGTAAAAGTACCACATCAAATGGAAATTTAGATAAAGAATATGCTAGAATAACTAATGGACACGAAATACCAAGAGTGAAACTCTACTCCTGTAAATAATGAATTAAACATATAAATACAATATAGAAAGAAACACAATATATAAATTAAATGCAACACAAGATCTGTTTGAAGCTTGAGAAGACAGCAACACAATGTTATAAAAAATGCTATAGAAACATAATTTAGTATAAGAAAGCATAAACTAGAAAATTAGTGCATGAACAGCAAAGCTTAAAATTAATAAACATGAACAATATAGTTCAGTTTTTTTAAGAACACCCCGTTACATGAGCAACACTTCATGAACATAAGACATAACCAGCATTTCATGATCCATATGTCATGCTCATCTGATATCACAAAAACATCACTTCACCAGCTAGGCAATGACCAGCAGTTGTACAAGTAATAATGTCTCAGTTTTCATGGGCCAGCGCCTCCTATTCTCAACAAGAAATGGTTTTTCCCTATCACGGGGCCTAGAAAAAAATTATTATTTACCCGCATATTAAGGTCTGAAGTCATTACCACAAAGCATATGACGGAAGTACAACCATCATTTGCCTAAATGTGTCAACCAGTTAAGTTTTAGAAAACCCTCTAACTATGTTGGTGTATTCCAGAAACAATACTCAAATTGAATTAGAAACCAACATTGCCCCAGTGAGAATATTAGAGACTACTAAATTGCAAGAGACTTCTCTGGGGCTTGATACATTACCATCCTTCCTGACGGTTCGTAGGTGCCTGTGTATTCCTGTAGCAGGTAGCACCAGGCAGAGCAGCAGGTGGGTTGCTGTAGGGATCAGTGTGGGGAGGAGGACGAGGGGTGCATGAGGTGCTGTGCCTGTAATGACACCCAGCACATCCATGGATTAATTATTATTAATTATTCTTCAAGGAAGTACTAGCAAACGTATACTCTTGACCATGTGTACAGTCACACGTTTCAAATCAAAACACATGAAATTGGAAAAACTAACTTCTCAGCCTTGTAGGGAGAGCCCATGGATATTAACCCTTCTGTCCGGTAAAAATAAGACTAGAGGTGTGAGTTGGACTGACTAGCTTGTGCTAGTAAGTCTGATGCCTCAAGTGGATGTGACCTGACCTGGCTAGGTTGGGTCATTGGCTTAAGCCAGTGGGGAGACTTGGACCTGCCTTCCATGAGCCAGTAGGCCTGTTGCAGTGTTCCTTTTTTCTCATGTTCTTATTTTCTTAACCTATAAGTTCAGGAGGGGCGGCCTAGTGGCACTAATCTCTCGGTCTAATAGGGGGATCCCAAGCACTACTCTCTCAGTCCAGTTCAGGGTGTCCAGTAGCACTAATCTCTGCCCAGTTACGAGGGAACAGAGGCATTAACTGCTCAGTCCAGCAAGGTAAGCCCAGGGAAATAATAATTATACCCAGTAAGGAGAGCCTAGGAGCACTAACCTCACAGCCCAGTAGGGAGAGCCCAGGGGCATGGTGGAGTCATCCACGGTCCACGACCAAGCATTAGTATCCAAGTCGAAGCGACCTCCGATCCAGTAATCAGTTGTCAGCACTGCAATAAAACATAAAATTTAGTCCTTATGGTATATCCTTATGGTATATAAATATATAAATTTGGATGAATCTTATTGTAGCTACCTGGCACAGTGCCTTACGCGCTGACCTCAAGTTTTAAGACTCACTCACCATAGGTTCTAACCCCACCAGTACGCTGGTATATCTTTCATTTCTACTGGCTGTATGACCCTTACGTTTTTCGGGCTTTCCTATGAATACAATATCGGCAATAATCATTGAAAATATTATTAACACTGTGTTTATTGTGATTCTGAAATAACAGTGAAATGAGTATTGGAAATACTTGGCAAGATTGTGGATTAATAACTTTTTTATGAAGGTTAGAGTTAAACAGAATTTGTTGATCGAAATGATTTTATATTGATGACGTTCGTTTAATTTCATCCAGACATTTTGCCCTCATGATTTCATGTCAACGTGTTTACAGTGTTACTTATCTGTGTAAGTGTTTACAGTGTTACTGGGCTGTGTAACTGTTTACAGTGTTACTAGGCTGTGTAAGTGTTTACAGTGTTATTGGGCTGTGTAACTGTTTAAAGTGTTAATGGGCTGTGTAAGTGTTTACAGTGTTACTTGGCTGTGTAAGTGTTTACATTGTTACTGGGCTGTGTAAATGTTTGCAGTGTTACTAGGCTGTGTAAGTGTTTACAGTGTTACTGGGTTGTGTAAGTGTTTACAGTGTTACTGGCCTGTGTGAGTGTTTATAGTGTACTAGGCTGTGTAAGTGTTTACAGTGTTACTAGGTTGTGTAAGTGTTTACAGTGTACTAGGCTGTGTAAGTGTTTACAGTGTTACTAGGCTGTGTAAGTGTTTACAGTGTTACTAGGCTGTGTAAGTGTTTACAGTGTTACTTGGCCATGTAAGTGTTTACATTGTTACTGGGCTGTGTAACTGTTTTCAGTGTTACTAGGCTGTGTAAGTGTTTACAGTGTTACTTGACTATGTAAGTGTTTACAGTGTTACTGGGCTGTGTAAGTGTTTACAGTGTTACTGGGCTGTGTAAGTGTTTACAGTGTTACTGGGCTGTGTAAGTGCTTACAGTGTTACTGGCTGTGTAAGTGTTTACAGTGTTACTGGGCTGTGTAAGTGTTTACACTGTTACTGGGCTGTGTAAGTGTTTACAGTGTTACTGGGCTGTGTAAGTGTTTACAGTGTTACTAGGCTGTCTAAGTGCTTACAGTGTTACTTGCCTGTGTAAGTGTTTACATTGTTACTGGGCTGTGTAAATGTTTACAGTGATACTAGGCTGTGTAAGTGTTTAAAGTGTTAATGGGCTGTGTAAGTGTTTACAGTGTTACTGGGCTGTGTAACTGTTTACAGTGTTACTAGGCTGTGTAAGTGTTTACAGTGTTACTTGGCTGTGTAAGTGTTTACATTGTTACTGGGCTGTGTAAGTGTTTGCAGTGTTACTAGGCTGTGTAAGTGTTTACAGTGTTACTGGGTTGTGTAAGTGTTTACAGTGTTACTGGCCTGTGTGAGTGTTTACAGTGTACTAGGCTGTGTAAGTGTTTACAGTGTTACTAGGTTGTGTAAGTGTTTACAGTGTTACTAGGTTGTGTAAATGTTTACAGTGTACTAGGCTGTGTAAGTGTTTACAGTGTTACTGGGCTGTGTAAGTGTTTACAGTGTTACTAGGTTGTGTAAGTGTTTACAGTGTACTAGGCTGTGTAAGTGTTTACAGTGTTACTAGGCTGTGTAAGTGTTTACAGTGTTACTAGGCTGTGTAAGTGCTTACAGTGTTACTTGGCTGCGTAAGTGTTTACATTGTTACTGGGCTGTGTAACTCTTTTCAGTGTTACTGGGCTGTGTAAGCGTTTACAGTGTTACTGGGCTGTGTAAGTGTTTACAGTGTTACTGGGCTGTGTAAGTGTTTACAGTGTTACTGGGCGGTGTAAGTGTTTACAGTGTTACTGGGCTGTGTAAGTGTTTACAGTGTTACTGGGCTGTGTAAGTGTCTACAGTGTTACTGGACTCCGTAACTGTTTACAGTGTTACTGGGCTGTGTAAGTGTTTACAGTGTTACTGGGCTGTGTAAGTGTTTACAGTGTTACTGGGCTGTGTAAGTGCTTACAGTGTTACTGGCTGTGTAAGTGTTTACAGTGTTACTGGGCTGTGTAAGTGTTTACACTGTTACTGGGCTGTGTAAGTGTTTACAGTGTTACTGGCTGTGTAAGTGTTTACAGTGTTACTGGGCTGTGTAAGTGTTTACAGTGTTACTGGCTGTGTAAGTGTTTAAAGTGTTACTGGCTGTGTAAGTGTTTACAGTGTTACTTGGCTGTGTAACTGTTTTCAGTGTTACTAGGCTGTGTAAGTGTTTACAGTGTTACTGGCTGTGTAAGTGTTTACAGTGTTACTGGGCTGTGTAAGTGTTTACAGTGTTACTGGGCTGTGTAAGTGTTTACAGTGTTACTGGCTGTGTAAGTGTTTAAAGTGTTACTGGCTGTGTAAGTGTTTACAGTGTTACTTGGCTGTGTAACTGTTTTCAGTGTTACTAGGCTGTGTAAGTGTTTACAGTGTTACTGGCTGTGTAAGTGTTTACAGTGTTACTGGGCTGTGTAAGTGTTTACAGTGTTACTGGGCTGTGTAAGTGTTTACAGTGTTGCTGGGCTGTGTAAGTGTTTACAGTGTTACTGGGCTGTGTAAGTGTCTACAGTTTTACTGGACTCTGTAACTGTTTACAGTGTTACTGGGCTGTGTAAGTGTTTACAGTGTTACTGGGCTGTGTAAGTGTTTACAGTGTTACTGGACTGTGTAAGTGTTTACAGTGTTACTGGGCTGTGTAAGTGCTTACAATGTTACTGTCTGTGTAAGTGTTTACAGTGTTACTGGGCTGTGTAAGTGTTTACACTGTTACTGGGATATGTAAGTGTTTACAGTGTTACTGGCTGTGTAAGTGTTTACAGTGTTACTGGGCTGTGTAAGTGTTTACAGTGTTACTGGCTGTGTAAGTGTTTAAAGTGTTACTGGCTGTGTAAGTGTTTAAAGTGTTACTGGCTGTGTAAGTGTTTACAGTGTTACTAGGCTGTGTAAGTGTTTACAGTGTTACTGGGCTGTGTAAGTGTTTACAGTGTTACTGGCTGTGTAAGTGTTTAAAGTGTTACTGGCTGTGTAAGTGTTTACAGTGTTACTAGGCTGTGTAAGTGTTTACAGTGTTACTGGGCTGTGTAAGTGTTTACAGTGTTACTGGACTGTGTGAGTGTTTACAGTGTTTCTGGGCTGTGTAAGTGTTTACAGTGTTTCTGGGCTGTGTAAGTGTTTACATTTTTACTGGGCTGTGTAAATGACAATGATAATTTTATTAAGTGTACTTGGATAGCATTTGTCAGGTATTTATTCAAGAATAACTCTTCTGATTGGCTTCAAACTCTTCCTGTTAATACATTATACTTATGTATAGATAAGGTTTGCTTTTGCCAATTTTAACGACTAAATTGTGATTTTAGTTTATGTACTATAGCTTTTCAGTGTGGGCCTTTAAATTAACGTCAAACTTTTAACACTGGTGTATCTTACCTAATGTTAGACTCGTTGTACTTTGTAGGTGTCAATTTGCCAATTTTATTTAAACAATTTGGTTTACAGTTTATATACTAAACTATGCTTTTTGGTCTATGCATCACAGCCACTATATTTCACTGCCTCATTCACAAGGTGATTGGATGGCTGGAGTGGAGTCCCATTACCACAGTGGTAGTGATTGGTCAAATCTTGGGTGAACATTTAATTAATCTTGAAAATTTAATTACCAGACTGAACTCCATAACTTTTCTAGACCTTACTGTAGACCATGGAAAAATTAGCACCCATAATGGTTAAAGTTCAGTCTATACTCAATTATTCTCTCATGAGGGACTTAAATGACGCTCAGCCAACTCATGACCCCCTATAAACATTATGTATTTTATTATGCTTGCTTTTAAATTATCAATCTTAAAATTACATTTATGAAAGACAAGTAATGAATACAGACTAAATATTATGCAATGTTCCTGATATAGTTCATCTACGGTTTTTTTTTTTTTTGTTTCTTAAATGTTATTAATAAAAATATGCATGTGGTTTAGAATTGTTATTTTTTGTACATATATTCATGATAATGGTCATACAGGGATTTAACAAAAGTAATGCTCACTTGATGCTTTCATATACTGCAGCAGGTGTCCGAAATCCGCGAAGTCATCAAATTTCACGAGGTCGCCATAGATGGACCTACAGAAGACTCTGGCTTCTGGCCACGACACCTGGCGGAGACAACATTATGATGTACAACTGTGATGGTAGTGGTGGTGTTATTTTGTCAGGATAAATAAAAAACTTTATAATTAACCAGGTGTTAGTCATATAATGACCCACTTAACCGAGTTTTTGGTCACTTAACATAGGTTTTCCTCTGGCTTGGCAATCTACCTCTTAAAATTATTGAAGATCTCAGTAGATGTGTTGACGGTTCTTTAATTTGAGAAAATGGAAAACATACCTACACATGCAGCACAATTCACGGAACTTTGTATTCATAAAAAAAAGTTCCAGATACCACTGTTGTGTTTAGTCTGGGTATGTTGAAGAAAAGGCATCAACCCAAACAAGATTGGATCAACCATTAAGCAAAATAAGCACGTCCTTACGGCATCAAGGGAAGGGGTACATCACAGAAATTTTACATTGCCGGATTTACCATGGAATATATGGTGTAAAAATACAAATGGTGCAGCTGAACCAAGTTCCACAAAAAAGGCTCCCACAATACCTGGAGTTTACCTGGAGAGGGTTCCCGGGGTCAATGTCCCTGCTGCCCGGTCTGTGACCAGGCCTCATGGTGGATCAGGGCTTGATCAACCAGGCTGTTACTGTTGGTCTCACGCAACCAGACATACGAACCACAGCCCAGATGGTCAGATACTGACTTTAGGTGCCTGTCCAGTGCCTTCTTGAAGACCGTCAGGGGTCCATTGGTAATCCCCCTTAATAATAATAATAATAATAATAATAATAATAATAATAATAATAATAATAATAATAATAATAATAATAATAATAATAATAATAATAATAATATCTTTATTCTACAAGTACATGTACAAGGTATACAGGCCATAGCCGACATCAATGACTTACTACTATATAGAAAGCCTGTTGTTATGCAGAACATCTCGGGCAAATTAGGTTAGTTTTTTCCCAGAATGCGACCCACACCAATTGATTAACACCCAGGTACCCATTTTACTGATGGGAAACAGACATCCGGTGTAAGGAAACACGTCCATTGTTTCCACCCCTTCGCCAGGAATCGAACCCGGACACTCACCGTCTGAAGCGAGACCTCTTTCCAGCAGGCCAAGGGGCCTGAGAGGCAGCTGAACAGCCTTGGGCCCCTCACACTTATTGTGTTGTCTCTTATCGTGCTAGTGGCGCCCCTGCATATAATTGGGGGAATGTTGCATCGTCTGCTGAGTCTTTTGCTTTCATGTATGAATATGTATATATATATTATATATATATATATATATATATATATATATATATATATATATATATATATATATTATATATATTATATTTATTATATATATGTAGTAGGTTGGTAGACAGCAACCACCCAGGGAAGTACTACCGTCCTGCCAGATGACTGTGAAACAAAAACCTGTAACTGTTTTGCATGATGGAAGGATTGCTGGTTCTCTTTTTCTGTCTCATAAACACGCTAGATAACAGGGATATCTTGCTACTCCTACTTACACTTTGGTCACACTTCACAGACACGCACATGCATATATATATATACATACATCTAGGTTTTTCTCCTTTTTCTAAATAGCTCTTGTTCTTTTTTATTTCTTCTATTGTCCATGGGGAAGTGGAAAAGAATCTTTCCTCCGTAAGCCATGCGTGTCGTATGAGGGGACTAAAATGCCGGGAGCAATGGGATAGTAACCCCTTCTCCTGTATACATTTACTAAAAAAGAGAAGAAGAAAAACTTTATAAAACTGGGTTGTTTAAATGTGCGTGGATGTAGTGCGGATGACAAGAAACAGATGATTGCTGATGTTATGAATGAAAAGAAGTTGGATGTCCTGGCTCTAAGCGAAACAAAGCTGAAGGGGGTAGGAGAGTTTCAGTGGGGGGAAATAAATGGGATTAAATCTGGAGTATCTGAGAGAGTTAGAGCAAAGGAAGGGGTAGCAGTAATGTTAAATGATCAGTTATGGAAGGAGAAAAGAGAATATGAATGTGTAAATTCGAGAATTATGTGGATTAAAGTAAAGGTTGGATGCGAGAAGTGGGTCATAATAAGCGTGTATGCACTGGAGAAGAGAGGAATGCAGAGGAGAAGAGAGATTTTGGGGATGTTAATGATGT